CGCTCACCTCCCAAAGTCACACCTGCAATCCTTTTGGAGACCCAAACAAATGATCACACCGCTGTCCATTATTTTCTTTAAATCACGGGAAATGGGGGATGTGCCAGAGGATTGGAGGAGGGCCAGTGTTGTCCCTATCTTCAAAAAGGGCAAAAAAGAGGAACCTGGGAACTACAGGCCAGTCAGCCTGACCTCAATCCCTAGAAAAATTCTGGAACAGATTGTGCAACCACCTAGAAAACAAGGCAGTCATTACTAGAAGCCAGCATGGAGTTATCAAGAACAAATCCTGCCAAACTAATTTGATCTTGTTTTTTTGATCAGGTCACCTCCCTGGTAGACAGAGGGAATGCTGTAGATGTAGTATATCTTGACTTCAGCAAAGTTTTTGACAAAGTGCCCCCTGAGTTCCTGATGAGCAAGCTAACTAGGTGTGGGCTGGATAGATCACGTGTCAGGTAGATACAGAATTGGCTGCAGAATCGTCCTCAGAGGGTGATGATTAATGGGTCCTTCTCTAACTGGGAGGAGGTAACTAGTGGGGTACACCAAGGCTCAGTCCTGGGCCCGGTGCTCTTCAATATTTTCTATTAATGACTTGGATGAGGGAATGCAGGGAATGCTTGTCAGATTTGCGGACGATACCAAATTGGGCGGAATAGCTCATACCCTAGAAGACAGAAACAAAATTCAGAATGACCTTGATAGAATGGAGCACTTGCCTGAAAGGAATTAAATTCCACAGGGATAAGTGCAGAGTCCTGCACCTCAGAGAAAGAAACCAATTGCACAGTTACAAGATGTGGAATACCTGGCTCAGCAGAACTACGAGCAAGAAAGATCTTGGAATCATCGTAGATCACAAGCTAAATATGAGCCAACCGTGTGATGTGGCTACAAAAAAGGCCAATGATATTTTAGGCTTCATTAATAGAAGTATAGTTTCCAAATCCCGTAAAATGCTAATTCCCCTCTACTCAGCATTGGTTAGGCCTCACCTTGAACCTTGTGTCCAATTCTGGACACCACACTTCAAGAAGGATGCTAACCAATTGGAACAAGTTCAGAGGAGGGCGACATCAATTTTTAATGTTTATTAATTTTGAATTTTATTCATTGATCCATTTAATTGGCTGTAGTTGACTTTTGATCTTTCGTTCTGTGGTGTATTTTACCTTACGATGTCCTCTCAATTTCTTGCATTTGGTGTTTTCTGATCACTAGCTGTGTTTTGTTCTCTGTTGTACACCACCCGGTGTGGCCACAGGCCAGGTGGCGCGGCATCAAAGTGTAAAAAAAATACATGAAATAAATAAATCTATCCCTGGCATTGGGCAACAGGACATAGAATGATAGTGAGTCTTAGAGGGTGAAAGCTCTCAAACCACACTCCGCATGCCAGAGGAAATGTCTGCTTTACACGTCTGTGAGAGAAACTCATAGCTTTTCGAAAAGTTACTTCTTTGGACTATAACTCTCATATCACCTCATTCCTACATGGCCTCCTTCCCCCCCCCCAAAAAAAACCCATTTTCCTAACTACCGTAGCTACCATATTTTTCGCTCCATAAGACGCACCAAATTTTTAGGAGAAGAAAACAGGAAAAAAATAATCTGTTTTCTTCGCTCCATAAGACGCACAGACTTTCCACCCCCCCCTGTTTTGTGGAAAAAAGTGTGTCTTATAGTGCGAAAAATACGGTAATTCTACCAAGAAATCAGAATTAAAAAATAAAACATTGCCACCCACTGGTCACTTTCAGGAGTGCAACGTAGTAGTTTCTTTCATCATCCTCATTCTCTCCAGGTACACAGCCGCCAGCGTCATAGACACGGCCAGCAAGTACAAACTGCTTTGGAAGATGCCCTTGGAAGACGCGGATGTTGTGAAAGGTTTGTTCCTCTTTCCATTGCTGTTGTTTGCCCTGTCACTCAGCTGTGGAAGTTGTAAGTCTAGAATGCAAGTTTTCCCGTTCCTTTGTCGCTGTTCCATTGCTGTTGTTTGCCCTGTCACTCACAGTCACTGGTTTGGAACGGAGACGTCGTAGGCTTGACATTGAGATTTGTCTAAATTAGGATGAGGTAACTTGCTGTCCAAGAGCCAAAGCAGGGCCTTTGAAAAGGTGTCATCTGTATAATAGTGGAGATGGGAAGAGTTGCTTTTGGGAGGGGGGGGCGCTTAACATCTGGTAGCCATGCTGGCTGTACCGCTGTGGAAGTTGTAAGTCTAGAAAGCAAGTTTTCCCGTTCCTTTGTCACTTGTAAGTCTAGAAAAGCATCTTGGTTGGCCAATTGGGGTGATCTGTTCTCATCTTAGGTGTTGTACTGTGTTTCCCCAAAAATAAGACAGGGTCTTATATTAATTTTTGCTCCAAAAAAACATATTAGGGCTTATTTTCAGGGGATGTTTTATATTTTTTTCATCTACAACCATCTACATTGATTCAGATACAGTCATGTCCTCTTCTTCTGGTTGCTGCACCAGGGTGGAGGGCGGGGTTTCACGAAATTGGAGCTTATTTTTGGGGTAGGGCTTCTATGACGAGCATCCTGAAAAATCACACTAGGGCTTATTTTCAGGTTAGGTCTTATTTTCAAGGAAACAGGGTATTTTTAGGTCTCTCTAAATGCAAACCTTTACAAGTCAGGTAATCAAAAGGAGGTGAATATTTGTAAAATGTTGCCAGCCACCACTGTGTTGCTGGTGGACAGCCGTCCTCTGATCATTCCCCCATGTGATATTTTGTGCGATTTCTGCCTGGCTTCAGGGGCCTCTCAGTCCACCAACCGTGAGAGCATCCAGAAAGCCATCTCCCGGCTGGACGAGGACCTCAGCACTCTCGGCCAAGTCAGCAAGCTTTCGGAGACCCTCAGCTTCCCCCACCAGGTGAGAAAGATTGCCGTAAGGGATCAGGGAAGTACAGATATAAAAAAAAAATAGAAAGGAAGAAAGTGGCCAGAATCCATGGCTTATGCCTAGCACCAGAAGGCTGGTGATATAAATCTCAGCAGCAAATTGCTGCTGGTTAAGACATTGGTGCCCTTTTCTCTTGTTGCACCCAAGTCATGCCACTTCGAACATGATCAGAAATGGAAACCTGGTCCTTTTCATTCCACAGCAATTTAGCACTGAAATTTACAGCGTCGGATTTAATGCTGGCATAAGTAACAGGATTCTAGCCACTCACATTCAGACAAATAGAAAACATACGATGCAGCCACAAGTCAGTCGTAAAATGTATTTTGGAATTAAAAACAGAAGGCGGAGTCCATCTGAAAGGTGTATGAAAGAATCCCACCGCTGAGGTCCCTCTGCTGACTTCCTGCCTGGCCCCCTCCAGTTAAATACTAGCGCTTGTAGAAATTGTTCTTTCAGATATTGTAACCAGTTTGCTGACTTACCGATCGACTATTACATTTAAAAAAAATAAATAACATTCTTCAAAAGATGGATTAACTTAAGCTTTACTCCACATTATTTTTTAAATAATAGCCAGTGGGTTGGACTGAAATGGGGCTGCTTTACCCGTTTCCAAATTGCACACCTGGTAGATTTCAATCTGCACATCACCGATATTGTGCATTTCTAGGCAAGATGGGACCAAGAGCAGGGCCATGCTTAAGATGCAGACAGGCTCAGAGGTGGTCTGGGACCGCTGCATGAAATAATATTTAAGTCTTGCATCACCCAAATTGATTGGTCAGTTCAACTTGGTGTGCAAAACCCAAGCTTTCCGATTCCATTCCTTTTTTTACGCTCGCTGTTTCTTTACAGTTTCCAAATTACAGCATAGTTTTTCTCCCGCCCAAACGAGCATGTCATGAGAATGGCTGACGGTCGGATTCCAAAAGATCTCCTAGATGGAGAATTAGTGCAGGGAAATCGCCCCAGAGGGAGACCACAGCTGTGATACAAGGAGATCTGCCAGCGGGATCTGAAGGCCTTAGGAATGGACCTCAACAGATGGGAAACCTTGATCTCTCAGCGTTCAGCCTGGAGGCAGGCATAAGGGCCTCTCCCAATTTGAAGAGACCCTTGTCCAGCAGGCCGAGGCCAAGAGGCCGTCCCGAGACCAGGAGAATCAGGGAGCTGGATGGGGGACAGATTGTATTGGTCTTCAGTGTGGAAGGGATGGTCACTCTCGAATTGGTCTTCTCAGCCACACTAGACTCTGTTCCAAGTCCTCTATGCAGAGCACGTGACCATCATCTCTCAAGAATGAAGGATGCCTGCAGGATTTTCTCCTGCATGGCTTATACCAGAACCATACCCAGTGTGGTAGACCTGTGAGGGAAGGGACGCTGTACATGGAACTAGTGTCTCCTGTAATCTCATCTTTACCTTAGTTCCTCCACTCTCAGAAAGCTAGGGGTTTCAGCTCTGCCCATTCTCTTAAGCAAACCACCCACTACCCCTCAAGTTGAGGATCTTGTCCCTGCTAATGCGAGTCTCTCTGTCCGTGCATTTCTCCAGAGCCTGGACGACGTCATCAAGGACCTGATGGCTGCCATCCACCGGGAGCTGGCCGAGAAGCAGTCCCTCTCCTTCACCATGTCTTTCCCCCCGAACAAGATGGAGCTGACGGTCACCAAAGCCGATAGCACAGAGTCCTACATCTTTGAGTTTCCCAATCCGGACGCACGCCACAGCTTTGAGCAAGCCTTTGAGGACACTAAGAAGAAACTAGGTAGCACATTTTGAGAATTGGGTTGTCGGACAGGGTCGCAAGAGAGCCGTCCAAGCAACAAAGTGGCTCACCCTATTGATCTGTCTATCTATCCACTCATTCTTTCATCCCTCTGTTCATCCTCTCATTCTTCAATCCATTCACTCACTCACTCACTCATTTTATCTATCTACCTACCTACCTACCTACCTACCTACCTACCTACCTACCTACCTACCTACCTCCCTACCTACCTACCTACCTACCTACAGTGGACCCTCTACTTACAGAATTAATCCATATTGG